CTTTTTTATTTCATTTTACCTATAAACAAATTGGAGGTTAGAGAGGTTAAGTATGAGAAAAAATTTTCTGATAATTAGATGTTGTGAATGGAATAAGCTGCCTGGTGTCAAGTCCTCAGCACTGAAGAAGCGTAGACACACTGGATATCTACCCACCAGGGATGTTCCACAGTGTGTGCAATACCTCTAGCAGGCAGGAGTTAGGGGGAGATGGGTTTGCATTCGATTATTAGAAGAGCATGGAATATGAACCCTGACAAGAAGCTGAGGCTAATATAGCCTAACCTTTTCATTTTACAAGTGAGAAACTGGGACCCGGAAAGGCCAATCTACTTTAGCTCTGGAATTTAGCTGTAGGTCAGTGATCTCTAAAAATCATTCTAAACTGAATGACTCCATGAGAATCCTGGGGAAAGAAAGAAAATGAGAAGAAAATAATGAGTGGACCCAAGTAGTTGACATACTATCCTTAATTATCACATTTTTTTTTTTTAATCTACAGGGAGAATGAATGTTCTTGATGAGACTAAAAGTATTGGCACGTGGTATACTTCTTTTATGGTCAACAGCATTTATTGATCGTTTAGTATTTACAGGAAACAGAGACTACAAGGAGGTGTAAGACATGGATCTAATACTGCAAGCTCTTCCAAGCAATGTGGTAGGCAGAATAATGGCCCCCAGAGAAGTCCACACCCTAATCCTCAGAAGCTGTGATTATGAGGCAGGAGAATAGGGTTTGAAGGTAAAGAACCTAAGGCCGATTGGCGCTGATTTCCTAGAACTGGATCAAAACGAAAACCCCACCTCTCCACACCCAAGTAACAAAAGGATCAGAGGATACTCCCTTTGCAACTCCCCACTCTACCCTTTTCTGTGTTGCAGATGGAAAATGAAAGAATCTCTGTTTGGTCCCCTCCTGCAACCAATCAGACTGGTTGCAGGCCAGGTCTTCATGTGTAACTTTGTAACTTCACTTCAGCCTCTGATTGGTCATTTTCCACAACCAATCAGACTCGTGGGCCACTATCTCATTTACATAGGGTTTAAACTAAGTAACCAATAGGAAACCTCTAGAGAGTATTTAAACCCCAGAAAATTCTTTAATCAGGCTCTTAAGCTACTTGCTAGAACCTGCTCAGTCTGTGGAGTGTACTTTTGTTTTAATAAATCTGTGTTTTTCTTTCATTGCTCTGTTTGTGCCTTTTGTCCAATTCTTTGTTCAAAATGCCAAGAACCTGGACACCCACCACCGGTAACAATTATTCTGCCTTTAATGGCAAGAGTAACATTGTGATGTGACTGAGGTTATGGAGCTTCAGAGAAGAAGATTATCCTGTGGGCTCAATTTAATCATCACATGAGTCCTTAAAGGTGGAGAAGCTTGCCCACCTGTGGTCAGAGAGAGAGCAGAACACACAGCAATGACAGAATGGTCACAGAAACACACACCTGATATGAGAGGACTCAACCAGCCACTGTTGGCTTTGAAGAAGGGGGTGAGGGAAGGAAGGCTATCAACCAAAGAATATGGGGGACCTTTGCAAGCTGGAAAAGGCTAGAAAACAAATTCTTCCCAGGAACCTCTAGAAAGGAATGCAGCCCTGCTAATACCTTGATTTTAACCCACGAAAAACTTTGTTGACTTCTGGCTTACAGAACTGTAAAGTTAAAAAATCTGTATTGTTTAGGCCACTAAGTTTGTGGTAATGTGTTATGTTAACCATATAAAACTAATACATAATGTAAAAAGAAACAGCACATACATGGAAGCTTACCAATGATCAGTATTCTCTAGGATATACCAATTCTCTAGGGTAAACATGAGGTCATATGAATAGTAATTTCTCGTATTCTTATCGCTGCCTTTAGCTGGTTGGAGAACCTCTGGTTTTTCTTAAAAGATCCTTTCCCCAACTGTCCCTGAAGATCCTCAAGATAATAGAGGACCTCATAAATTTTCACAATCCCAAACCCAAGCTACTACATACAATTCACTCTTTTCCTTGTCTTAGATTTCCTCTGGTGATGTCTACTGTTCTCTAAATGCCTGGGAAGCTCCATTTAGATGCCAAGCATTGCTGCAGTGATTCTACCACTGACTGTTTATAGCTTTCATCAAAGTGGCTCTGATCCTCTGTGCCAGTGCAAGCCTTTCAGGTGAGCCTCAGGACCCAGAGGAGCCACTGGTAGCCACTGTTTGCCCTTTTGCATTTCCAGATAAAGTTGGAAAAATTCACCTGCCCCGCTTTTGTGTTATATTCCCTTGGAAACAGTTCCAAAGCAAAGCTACATTATGTACACAAGATCTTAAACAGTTTTGCTGTTGTCGTATTTTTCTGTGAAGTTACCAGTTGTACTTAAGAGTCCCCTCTCACTAGGATTCTGTTATTTCATAAGGGTTCGGCCAAAGGACAGTGAGATGCAGACATAATGCTGAACCCCAAGCTATTCTTGTTAGTCGAAAATACCTTTGTGCTTTTTATTTTTCCTTATAATGAATGACTTTCCAGGGATTCCTCCATGCCTTCTGTAAATAGATTCCACCGCACTAAACCGATAAATTCCTTCCTTACAACTGCAGAATTATACAAGAGGGAATATCCTAAGTAACACGTGGATGGATGACTGTAACAGTTTAGAGGCGAGCAGGGTCTGGTAGTTAGGGTTCATGTAGAGTAAACTGGAGAAGGAAGAGACCTCCAGGGTCTATTTCAATGTGACTTCCTACTACTGTTCAATACTTAATCTGGACGGCGAGATAAGGGGCATTCAACAAATTCCTATGGAATTAATAATGAGGCAGAAATAATCTGGTAGAAATGCTGGGGCCAAAGTATTGTTGACAATGAGTTGGAGGTCCATACATTTGAGATGGAGCTAATAATTGATTTTATAATGGAATGAAAACTTGAAGAGAAAAGAGAAATAATGGGTATTTGAACCATCTTATTCATGAGTATAATGTGTGGAACTAGCTATACGTATACCTTCTTGTGTATGTTTGCTGTTTAACTCAGACTATATAGTACTTAGTTGTTTCTGTATCTGGGCATTATCATTTCCAGTGTTTTCTGTATCTCAAAAATGTTTTAATGTATAATTAATATGATTTACTCGACAAAACTGGAGAGCAAAATTTTGGCTCCCCCTTCTGTATTATATTTTGTTTTATTTTAAATCCTAGAGGTTATAACTTCTATTACTACAATAGTAACTAGATTTTAAACGAAATTCTGTACATCAGAATGGGTACCTAGCGATATACTCCAAAAATTTTAAAAATGATTAAACTACTGTATCTGTCATCAAGGAGCATGCTTGGGAAGGTATAGTATAAAATTACAAAACATGAAGTTCCAATCAGTTTATTTGGCTTTATCACTTGTGACGTAAAGAACAGAAAGAACAACTAACTGATAAGATGTCTTCCTTCTTTTGAGGTAAAATTCACATAACATAAAATCAACCATTAGCCATTTTAAAATGTACAATTCAATGGCATTAAGTACAACTCATCCTGTTTTTCAAAAGCTCTGAAGAAAATGAAAATGCCAACAGAGAAAGCTCTAGAGAATTGACGTACCTTAATCTCTAAATATTTCACATTACATTGCACCCGCGTTATTTTTTCTCTAATGAATGTGAGTTTGTGTTTGGTAGGCGTTCAACGCTGAACAAATTGGTCACATATTCAAGTTACCTATGCCCCATATTTCTTTAATAAAATTTGTATTAGATGTTAATATCTAACTTGGAATTCCTTCAGCTATTTATTTTCTTAAGTATTTTTTCTATTATTTTAATTTCCATGTGGACAGGTAACATAACTACCTTCTTCACTGTTTCCCTGTAGGAGAATCCAGGATATAATAATGATCAATTCCATAATCTTGGGATTTTTAATTCCTATTAATTCCTTATATGTTCCCCCACGTCTCCGCAGTGGTCAATACTATCTTTTTTTTTTTTTTTTTTCTTTTTTTCTTTTTTTTGAGACGGAGTCTTGCTCGGTCACCCAGACTGAAGTGCAGTGGTGCAACATCCGCCTCCCGGGTTCAAGCGATTCTCCTGCTTCAGCCTCCTGAGTAGCTGGGACTACAGGTGCCCACCACCAAGTCCGGTGAATTTTTGTATTTTTAGTACAGACAGGACTATGTTGGACAGGCTGGTCTCGAACTGCTGACCTCCAGTGGTCCACTGACCTCGGCCTTCCAGAATGCTGGGATTACAGGCGTGAGCCACCACGCCCGGCCCCCTCAGTACTGTCTCGTATCACCGCGGCAGCCTTCAGGTGGAGAATGTTCCCGGCCCGGAATAATCCACCTGAATGTGAATCCTGACCGTTTTAGGCGCCAATGGAGGCCGCTGCTATGGGGCCGGCCGTGGGGTGGCGCTGCTGCCCTGTCTTGTGACTCCGTTTTCACCTGGACGGGAGTTTCCGTGATACCTGACCACCGAGCGATCACTGGAGTAAAAAATGAGTGTGAGAATGATGGTTTCCAGGTTCATCCATGTTCTCACTCATAGGCGGGTGTTGAACAATGAGAACACATGGACACAGGGAGGGGAGCCCTACACACTGGGGTCCGTTGGGGGGAAATGGGGGAGGGATGGGGGGGTGGGGAGGTGGGGAGAGACAGCATGGGAAGAAATGACAGATACAGGTGAGGGGAAGGAAGGCAGCAAACCACACTGCCACGTGTGTACCTATGCAACAATCTTGCATGTTCTTCACATGTACCCCAAACCTAAAATGCAATAAAAAATAAAAAATAAAAATGAGTGCAGATCAGCAACAAGCCCAGCCTTGACAGTTTCAGCATAGGCTTCCCGTGGCTCGCGTGTGGCGAGTCCCAGAAACCTGGGAGCCCGCAGACTTCCCTTCTAGGGAGCCCGCCCGAACTCCATCCTCGGCCGGCAGCCACGCCCCGCAGTGGGAAGGAGGGACTGGGAGCGTTTCCGCGAGGCTGGCGCGCCTTGCTCTACCCAAGCCAGGCTATTTCCCCTCCGCCTGGGCCGGTCCCATCTGAAGCCGGAGTGACCCGAGGAGGACACGGTAGTGGACGGGGCGCTGGGGCCGGGCGCGCGGGGGAGGGCGGTGGAGAGGGTGGGAGGGGAATGAGGGAGGCAGCTGGGGACCACGGACCTTGCAGTTGGGGAAGGAGGAAAAGGTAAGAGGCTGGGAGCGGAACGGTTAAGATCTGCTATTCGTATTTATGTGAACAAACAGAAATCGCCAGGCGAGTTGACCTGTGTTTCTTCGGAACAAGCATGTTTGGCTTCTGTGTTTCTATGGTGAGGGACTATACCTGCCTCAGCAGATTTGGTGCAGAGAGAAAGCCCAGGAATGGGGGACCTCTGTTCATTCCTGGAGAGGGGACCGTCAGGAGAGGGGGAGAGAGAAAGAATGAGGTGACAGAAATTACTGGTCAGAGGACTGCATAGCCGTTCAGACCGTGGGCTCACTGCTTTCAACTTCGGTTCCCTCATCTGCGAAGCATAAATACGGTAATTACTTTCCAGGGTCGTTGCGATATTTAAATGAGATGTCAATAACCATGCTTAAAAACTGTACAGTGTGCTGTGCTATTCCTTGTGGACTGAATCACTGTTTTCTTTCTTTTGGGCCGGGGGCGGGGAAGGAGCCTCACTCTGTCTCCCAGGCTGGAGTGTAACGGCGTTATCTCGGCCCACTGCAACCTCTGCCTCCCAGGTTCAAGTGATTCTCCTGCCTCAGCCTCCCGAGTAACTGGGACTACAGGTGCCCGCCACCAAGCCTGGCTATTTTTTTTTTTTTTTTTTTTTTTTTTTTGTAGTTTTAGTAGAGATGGCTTTCATCATGTTGGCCTCTGTTTTCTTTTCAATGTCTTTTTTTTTCCTCTTTCATTTTTCTCTGTTAACCTCTCATCCCCCTTTTGTCTCCTTTCTTTCTTTCATTTCTGGGATTGTTGCTTCCTTCTGTAACGAGCCCTCTCCACACTGGAGTTTCTTACACCTATGCGACCACACTTCCTTCCTACTGAATGGGAAGCAGCTGTGTCCGTAAAGGCGCTGGTTACCGTAGTGTGCAGCACCGCTCAACTGATATAACACCTGCAAACAGAACTCTGTGCTGTCTACCTGGTTTCCCTCCCTCAGTACACCGCAATCTCCACTGACTGCTAGCTAGTGGGCAGCTAGGTCTTTCAGTGAGACATCATGAAGTATTTGCTTCAATGAAAATCATGTACTTTTTCTTTCAGTGCCTCCATTACTGTGTGAGTTTGGTAGGGCTGCTGTAACAAAGTACCACAAACTGGTTGGCTTCAACCAGCGGTCCCCAACGTTTTTGGCACCAGGCACAGGGACTGATTTTGTGGAAGACAATTTTTTCACGGATGCAGATGAGCTTGAGGGTGGGGGCGGATGATTTCAGGATGAAACTGTTCCGTCTCACATCATCAGGCATTAGATTCTCGTAAGGAGTTCCCAACCTATTTCCCTCACATGCGAAGTTCACAATAGAGTTCACGCTCCTGTGAGAATCTAATGCTTGCAGGCACGGTGGCTCACGCCTGTAATCCCAACACTTTGGGAGGACGCGGTGGGTGGATCGCCCTGAGCTTAGGAGTTTGTGACCAACCTGGGCAACTTGGCAAAACCCGTCTCTACCAAAAATACAAAAGAAAGGGAAAGGAAGAGAGAGCAAGGAAGAAAATCTAATGCCCTGGCTTATCTGATAGGAGGAGGAGCTCAGGAGGCAATGACAGAGATGGGGAGTGGCTGTAAACACAGATAAAGCTTTGCTGGCTCACCCGCTGCTCACTTCCTGCTGTGTGCCCTGGTGTGGGCACCCTGGGTGTTGGTGACCCCCGGCTTAAACAACGAAATGATTGTCTCACAGTTCAGGAGGCTAGCTGTCCAAAACTAAGCTGTTGGCAGCATCGAATCCTTCTAAGGGCCATGAGGGCAGCATCTATTCCAGGCATTTTTCTTTGGCTTGTAGATGGCTGTCTTCATGTATTATGTAGTGTTCTCCCTGTGCGTATCTGTCTCTGAATTTCCCCTTTTTTTATAAGGACACTAGTCTTATTGGATTAGGATCCATCTTAATTACCTCATACTGATTTCATTTTCTTTGAATATATATCCAATAGTGGGATGGCTGGATCATATAGTAGTTCCCTATCTCTGCATTATCATCTCCAAATGAAGTCACATTATGAGTTACTGGGTTAGAATGTCAACATATTAATTTTGGAGGGGTGTACATTTCAACCCATTAACAACTAATGTCTTTAGTTATGCACAAGTTAGTTGAGCGTTGCATCTATTTCAATTGTCTCAGGCAGAAACTATTTCCCACCTTTCCCATGCTCTTACAACCAGTCCCAGCAAACATGTGCTGTGAAGTACTGCCAGGAGTTATGTAATTCTGCAGCTCTGTTTTCTCTTAACCTGAATGTATACATTTTCTGCTGCCACTGTAACAAATTACCACAAAGGTGGTGGCTTAAAACAACATAAAATTTTGTTTTACAGTTCCGGAGGGCAAAAGTAAAAATGGATGCACAGGTCTCCAGATGGATGGTTCATTTTGGAGGCTCTAAGGGAGAATTAGTTTCCTTGCCTCCTCCAGTCTCTAGAGGCTGCTACAATCCTTGGCTCATGGCCCCTTCCTCCATCTTCAAAGCCAGCAATGGCCAGTCGGGTGTTTCTTATGTCTTCTCATGCTCACACTCACACTTTTGTCCTTTCCCACATTTAAGGATTCTTGCTAATTGTACTGGACTCACTGAGTAATCCAGGGTAATCTTTCTATTTTAAGGTCAGTTGATTCATTTCATCTCTAGCCTTAATTCCCCTTTGCTATTTCAACACTATTGAAAATCAACATATTCATAGGTTCTGGAGATTAGGGCATGGACATCTTTGAGAAGCCATAATTCCGCCTACCATAGCTGAGATTTCCCAACTGGGTATTCCTTATTCTTATTATATGTATATTTAAAATTTACATTTAATTTTTAAAACTTAAAAATTATGTATATTTTTCATTACATGTTGTTTTGGAAGATGTATACATTGTGGAATGGCTAAGCTAATTAACCATGTACTTCCTATATAACATTGTTAGAAACTACTCCCCATTCTCTTTTGTACTTTTAGTATTAGAGTTTAATCCTTTATGCTCAATTAGTTTCTATAGGTTATTTTTCTATAAAGCTTTTTACAGATCCAATGCTATTTTCATAGGTGAATTTAGCCACTTCTTTATTCAACAAACATATAGATTCTAATATATGCCAGACACTGCTCTTGGTGCTAGGGCTACAGCAATGAACAAAATAGCTGGTCCCTAAATTTTTATTCTCACTTTTTTTCTTCTTACTTTGCCACTTCATTTTTGTGCTCCCTACCAGCCCAGTCTCTAGTTCCCCAACACGCTTTCTGAATTTAGACATGGCTACTGTTCTGTGCCCACTTCTGGGCTGTGCTTATGAGGGACCTACAGAAGCTGACTGTGCTCTCAAGGAAATTTCAGTCTTGTTGGGAAGAAACAGATACTCACAGGCAAACTGGTTAAGTACTGAATAAGTAGGTTGGGTATTAGCATATTATGACTTGGCATAGTTTCTAACTGGAGAAAATGAAAGTAGAAGGGAATGAATATGCACAAAGGTAAAGAAGCAATTACGGTCAGGTGCAGTGGCTCATGCCTGTAATCCCAGCACTTTGGGAGGCCAAGGAGGGTGGATCACCTGAGGTCAGGAGTTCAAGACCAGCTTTGCCAACATGGTGAAACCCTGTCTCTACTAAATATACACAAAATTAAATTAGCTGGGCATGGTGGCAGATGCCTGTAATCCCAGCTACTCAGGAGGCTGAGGTGGGAGATTTGCTTGAACCCAGGTGGCAGAGGTTGCAGTCAGCTGAGATCATGCCACTGCACTCCACCCTGGATGACAAGAGTGAAACTCCATCTCAAAAAAAACAAAAAAAAACAAAAAAAAACAAAAAAAAAACAAAAAAAACGCTAATTATACAGACATCAGTGTAGAGTGGATAGAGTCCTCTCTCAGTTCTCAGTCCAGGGAACCTGAAATCTGTTTTAAGCTCTGGGACTCTCTTTGTGAGCAAATAACAAGGCACCTACCTCAGGGGTCCTTAGTTGTTTTATTATTATTTTTATTCCTTTCAAAAATGAAGGGTAGAGGTTGACTAGAAAATTGCTGGAGATTCTTCCACGTTTGAAAAAAAAAAAAAGTCTTTCATTTTTTAACTTCTCAGAATTTTTTTGAGATTTCTAACCAGAATAATAATAAGATAGTTTAGAATTTAAGGGAGACAGTCACCTCTGGATATGAAAAAGCTAACTGGGATGAAAGGGGTTTCTATCCATTCATTGGCTTAAAACTTCATTTCCTGCAGTTGTTCTCACCTCGTCAGCCCAGGCGGCCTTCTTCCCTAGCTTTCCCTCCCGACACCTTCTGCTGAATTGGGCAGTTAGAGGTCAGCACTATCATATTGTGAGTACTATCTTCTAAGGGTGAGTCTTCAGGAAGCAGAAACATTTCCTGATGCTCACTCTTTCTTTAGTCCCCAGCAGTCTAATTCGTATCCAAGCTTCTGGGCCTTATATTCTCCTCGAAAGCCATCTCAATCAATTTTCTCATACTTCTCATTCATAAAAACCCTTCATGGCATAGTGACAACAAGGAATAGCAACAGCTAATTTGTTTTGTTTCGTTTTGTTTTTTGAGATGGAGTCTCACTCTGTTGCCCAGGCTGGAGTGCAGTGGCATGATCACAGCTCACTGCATTCTTGACCTCTCAGGCTCAAGTAATCCTCCCAACTCAACTGTTAGGTAACAGAATATGTGGAAACATGGTATTTTTAGAATATGAATCTAAATTAAAATTATTGTATGTATATAATTCTAGGCTAAGTTAGAATTCTAATAAGGACACAGTAGTAGATGCTAAAGGTATAAGGGAAAAAAACGTGTTTCAAACTATACAATGTGGTTATACACATGTCTATTAGCCCTTCCTCATACTGCTATAAAGAACTGT